CCAGCGCAGCCGTGGCTGATGCGTGTGAGATGTGACTTGTCGTTCCTACTCTGCCTGTACTTTTTGTCCTATTGCGTTGTTATTATTTTTTTTATTATTATTATTATTTCTTGTTCTCCCTACGTCCAGGAGGCTGGATCCCTGTAACTTGTGCAGCACAGGACCTGATCACAGATGCCAGTCGGCCTGTGAGCGCTTTCTCCTGCGGGAAGCCAGGAGCAGCGGCACAAAATTCTTTGTTTTCTATGACCAGGGACCATATTTCTCTGGAAGGAGGACTGCGACAGGCGCAGAGTTAAATGAGGAACCTGGAGTTTAATCCCGGCTTTGCCTTGGATTCCCTGTCAAGCGAAGACAGTGACCTACCTCACAGGGCTGTTGTGAGGCTTCATTAATGTTTTCGTTAACGTGTTTTCCGGGCGGGAGAGGAACGAGTCCTTCCTGGCAGCTCTGGGGTTGTGCCCTCGCGGGGTGCAGGCGGTGCAGGGCTGCGGAGGGGGCTGGACGGGGGCATGGCCGATCGTTGGTTTTTATTCACCATTTCTTACGCTCTTTGTACCTGAACTCAAGGGGAGGTTTACCGCAGGGTAAGCGGCAGAACTCCTCCTGCCATGGCGAAGGGGTTCCTGCCCCTGCAGCGCCCGCCCCTGGGGACCAGCCTTGGGCTCTCGCAGTTGTTCTCAGACCTAATTTCCTTGTCAGGGGCTTTAATTAAGGGAGCTGTGGCCCGATGGACTGTAGCAGGGGTGTGCGGAGCGGGGGCTGGGGGTGGCTGTGCTCTGTGCCCCCAGCTTTGCTCTCCCCGGCGGGGCCCTGGGTGTCCTGCAGCCTGTGTTCACTCAGAACTTCTCATCTTCATTTCACTTGCCTGAGGTTGTCACTCTGATTTGACCAGTGTTTGTTTCTTTTGGCCTGTATAATGGGCTGTATGATTTTTCCTTCCAGCAGGTTTAAAAAAAAAAAAAAAAAAAAAAAAAGAAAAAAAAAAAAGACTAAGCTATTGTCTAAATGGTTCAGAACTAGTGTGATATTGGGATACTTCAGTGGCTGTTATGTGATACTGGATCTTTTTACAACCTAGAGTAAAGACAATAAAAAGGGATAGAGTAGTAACTGCCTCGCTCCTCTTCAGTTTTTTTTTCTGTTCATTGTCAGCAAAGGCTGAATCTGGGTGTTTTCTTTCTCCAGGGCCAGGGAAGCGGTGTG